CCTGCTGATTTCTTACTGTGTCTATAATGTACTTATGTTTATTTTTCTTAAACTGCTTAGTAACTCCTGTTATAATACAAATAAAACTTATGGCAAATATGGCAGCTTTTTCATTTTAATTTAGTCCTCCTTTAATACCATGATTAATGAACTATTGACTTGGAAATCTAGTCCTTCTTTTTTTCTTTCTTTTTTTAAATTATGCTGTGGAAACTGAGAATTTCTGCCACCCATAAAAAGGGTAAAATTGACCATTAAAACAAATACAGGTATTGTCAAGTACAAGTGCAATGCATTTACTTCTGTAAATATTCTCATTTTTAAAATTTTCAAAATACAGCACTAATGGCAACAGCCAAGTGCTTAAATATTTGAAAGTTTATTCAAATATATTTTTTGAGGTCTTACTATGTGTCAGGTTACATTTTAAGTACTAGGAATGTAACAAGTTCGGAAACTATAAATAAAGGTATCTGTTCTTCCTGAGTATATATTATGGGGTTGGGGAGATGATAATAAACTATGAATGTAATAAGTCAATCATACAGAATTTTAGGAGTTTATAAAAAGATAAAAAGATATATGGGAACCAGCAGTTAGCATAATGGCTATGTTGCTGGACTCCCACGTTGTCGACCGCGGTTCGCGTCCCGTGGCTTAAAACTCACGCCGGGCGCGTGTGCATGTGTGCCCAAGATCCTGAGAGGAGAATGGAGGAGAAGGGATTGTGGCGTGACCATCCCCCCTGGGGGGTGATTTCTCGCTTTCTGTTTCTCTTTCTCTCTGTCTGGAGAGCACACGCGCTCTATAGCGAAAACCTCTGAAAAAAATTAAAAAGATAAAAAGATATAAATAAATAGATAAAGGAAAGAAAGAAAGGGAATTGTAGAGTTCCAGAGGAGGGAGAGAGGTAGAGGGTGCGTTAAGGTATAAAATAAGTAAAGTAGGCTGCATTGGGAGAGTGAGATCTGAGCAGAGCAGGAGGGATGAACCAATTAGACAATCCAAATCACGTGGGAGAAGAGAATTCCTAGCAAGGAAAAGACTAGAGCAAAATCCTTAAAGTGAGAGTGCTATGCAAGTTTTTAGTAGAACAAGGAAGCCAACGTGGCCAAAATAGCGTGAGCAAGTGGGATCCCAACAGATGAGGTTATAAGTGTGATAGGGACAGATCCCAGAGACCCCCTGAAGACGATTTAACTTTTTTTCTGGGGGGACTTGGGAGTTTATTGTTGATTGAACTGTAACATGAAAAAGCATTTTTAAAAGCTTACTTACATTTTAAAAGCAGTAAATTGTTGGAAAGTGAGAGAGGGGAGAAATGATGGGCAGAAACGATGGCTCTGGGGACAATATCATTGGAAAACGAAGTCAGCCTTATGATGGAGGTGAGAAGTTGTGCAGTTACATATGTCTTCAAGTCAGAGGTAATGAGGTCTGGTGGATTGGATGTAAGGTGTGAGCATGAATAACAAGGAAAGGATAGTATAGCACCTGAAATAATGACATTTTGTATCTCCTTAGATAGGGGTAACTTTGCATAGAACAGGACTTGGTATCCATTCAAGAATTCAACTCTGATAGAGGAAGATTAGTGTTTATTGATAGACAGCACTGAAATTTGGGATAGAGGTCTTAGTTGGATATGTAAATTTAGAAACTGTAGTCATGCTATTAATATTCCAAACTCTGAGAAAATGGATAGTATCACAAAGACAGCAAGCATAGATAGCTTCAAAATCTGAATCCTGGAGTTCTTTAATGTTGGGAGGTTGGTGAGAAGATAAACCATAAGCCAAAGGAAGTAATACATGTATGTTTTAGGATGGCTTCAGTTATGTCCAGCATCTTGGTGTTGTGGACAAAGAATTGAACGAAACATCCAAAAAATAGTAGTTTATTAGGTAAAAGTAAACGTACACTTCTGAGAGGTAGGAGCAGGTGAACAAGTGAGAGAGAAAGGGTGACTCTAGGGCCTGGTAGTTACTTTCCATGGGGTTTTCCATAACCCTGCTTAACCAGGGTTATGCTGGTTGATTATTGTCTGGGCCCACTGATTGCTTTCATCCTATTGGTTATGTCAAATGTGGCTGGGCCCACTGATTTATCCTATTGGCTCTATCAAACATGGATGAGTCCACTAAATCAACTCTTTGGCTATATCAAATGTGGCTTAATTAGCTATACATTCACTGGAAATCTTCCACTTACATTATCTCAGGGAATATTCTGCCCTGATTGGTTTTTCTTCCTTTGCCCACATTTTACTGATTCACAAAATATCTTAATTAATCTAAATACTTTCAATAGCAAGTTCAGCTGGTGTATACATATCTGTGAACACATCTGACTTTAGGCATAAAATTCAGTGAGCAGAATGCATATAAAGTAGCACCTAGCTGAGGCTATATAGCTTAGTATGGTCATCAAATAGGTATTTTTATACATATTTTTTTAATTTCAAGAAAAGCAGTTTTAGCTTTAATAAATTAAAATAAATTAAGGGAAATTTGCTTAAAGCTTAAAACCATAAAAAAGTTTAGGATTCTGTTCAAACAGAAGATTGATGAACCCATCAATGGCTCAAGAGAAGATAAAAATCCTTAAATCTGGAAAATAAAGCATGGAAGAAAATCAGTAATGTTTTACTCAAAAGTCATAAAATTTTATTTCACCAGTTCGATCTCATGTAACTAATCTCTCTTCTGTTATGATCTGATCTTTCTGTTTAAATTCTGGAAGTTAAC